CATTAGAGAACTTATGAATTTATATCAAAGTGGTATATATAAGCCAGAAGATTGGCGTCTTTTCATAGATTCTTCAGTGAAAAGCCTGAAAGCAGTTCTGTTGAATAATGGAAATACATATGCTGCACTTCCGGTAGGCCACTCTACTGTACTCAAGGAATCTTACATGAATTTCCAATTACTTTTGGAAAAAATAAAGTATAATGATCACGACTGGCTTCTTTGTGGTGACTTTAAAATGATCAACCTTATAGTAGGTTTGAAATCGGGTAACGTTAAATTCCCTTGCTTTCTTTGCCTTTGGGATAGCCGTGCAAAACAGGAACTGCAGTGGAAACAAGAGAAGTGGCCAAAAAGACGTGAGTGGAAAGTTGGGGAGTACAATGTGGTTGAAAAATCTCTTATTGACAGAAACAATATATTATTACCACCATTGCATATCAAATTAGGTCTCATAAAGCAGTTTGTGAAAAAGTTAAATCAAGAAGGTGACTGTTTTAAGTACATTAGGTCTACATTTCCTAATTTGAGTGATGCAAAAGTATCGGAAGGTATTTTTGTGGTTCCTGATATTAGAAAGCTCATAAACGATGATGAATTTATAAAAACAATGACGCCCATTGAAAAAAATGCTTGGTTAGGTTTTAAGAATACAGTGCAAGGATTTTTAGGAAACAAGAAGGATCCTCATTATAAAAAAATTGTGTCTGATATGCTAGAACACTATCGAATATTGCAATGCAATATGAGTCTCAAATTGCATTTTCTCAAATGTCACTTGGACTATTTCCCTGAAAATCTTGGAGCGTACAGCGAAGAGATGGGCGAAAGATTTCACCAGGATTTGTATCAACAAGAAATGCACTACCAAGGTCGGTGGGATGAACATATGTTAGCTGACTATTGCTGGTCACTAAAACGAGAAGACAACCCAGAAAGCCATAAACGAAAATGTCTCCAAAGGTCCTTTGATACTAAACGCGAGAGATTCCATAAAAAATAATTTTGAAATAGCCGGGAAAATCGTTTATGAAAAAGATTAATTTGTAGAATGTGATGAGTAATATGCTACTTAAGAACGTTGAGAATAAACTTTTAAAGATTCAACATAGCAGACACTTCGACTCGAATGTTGAAGAAGTCAAGATGTAGCTGCCCAAGGTTATTGCCTCGGGAGGTACAAATTATGAAGGGTAAGGCAATTGAGATATAGCGGGATAGGGTTATAGCCTCGCCGGGTTTATGGGTTAGGTAATTGGGGTTATTGGATCTCAGGGTACAGGGTTTGTGGGTTAGGTAATTGAGGGTAGCGTCATTGGGTTATTGGGTCGCAGGGTACAGGGTTTGTGGGTTGAGTAAGTGGGGGTGTAGCGTCATGGGGTCTCAGGGTACAGGGTTTGTGGGTAGCGTCAATGGATTGTTGAGTCGCAGGGTACAGGGTTTGTGGGTTGAGTAAGTGGGGGTGTAGCGTCTTGGGGTTATTCGGTCGCAGGATACAGAGTTTGTGGGGTTAGTAAGTGGGGGTGCAGCGTCATGGGGTTATTGGGTCGCAGGGTACAGGGTTTGTGGGTTGAGTAAGTGGGGGTGTAGCGTCATGGGGTTATTGGGTCGCAGGGTACAGGGTTCAGGGGTTAAGAAAATTGGGGTTAGAGGGTTTGGGGTTATAGCCTCGCAGGTTACAGGGTTCGGGGGTTAAGGAACTTGGGGTTAGAGGGTTTGGGGTTATAGTCTCGCAGGTTACAGGGTTTAGGGTTGCCTTAGTTTCAAAATCTGACTTCGTATTCGTGATCAGTGACCCCAAAAACACCAAAAACACCCAAAAACACCAAAAAACCCAAAAACGCCATTTTGATTTTTCAAAATCTGACCATATGTTCGTAATCAGCAACTCCGAAAACCCATGTGCACATTTTTTTGGTCGAATGAGATCACTTATAAAATTTTAGGTCCGCCATATTGGATCCGCCGTTTTGAATTTTCAAAATCTGTCCTTATATTCTTTAACAGCAACCTCAAAAACCCATATATAGATTTTTTCGATCGAATACGATCACTTATAAATTGGGCTTATAGCCTCACATATGCTACATAGGCTGTTTCAACGTTGTTACAAAACTGCGAAAATATTTAACTTCAATCAATGATATCTCGATGAAAAAAAAAGCCATCTTGAATCTAAAAAATGGATTTCAAAGGACAAGAGTGCTCCTTTGTGATGCTTTTCCTCGTTTTGGAAAAAAAAATTTATTCAAGATGCTATGTAACCTCAAAATGAGCAAAAAACGGTATTTTTTGCACTTTTAGGTTAGAATATCTCGGTACTCAGACGTATAGGCTAAATTCTGAGCTCGGATTCGTTTTCAGCGCAACAAAATACTTCGGGTACACTAGGTCCGGTCTCAGGTTCTGGAGTTTGGTCAAATTTTGTCGGCCTGTGTTATTAGTCTTTACAAAAAACCGCACTAATTCTTTTATAAATTTAATTTTAATTTCTTTTATCTATTTTGGTTACTGTGGACCTATAGAAGACTTGAGTGGTTTAGCTTTGAAAGCGCAAACTTCGTTTTTACAAAAAGTTGATCAGTAACAAATCTCTCATAGAATGAAGTATTTAAATTCAAGGGATGCTACATAAATTCTACAGCGGATCTCTTCAATTAACAAGTTTTGCAAAACCAAAGACGTTACAGTAACTGAATTCAGTTTTGACACTCCAAATTTTTCCGTTTTTCTTTTGTAAGCGAGCTCGATTTAAAATAAATTACTTTAATGTATTTATTATTTGTGTGAATACTATGTTCTCATGACTGAAAGTTTGCAACTTAGAATATAATTGTTTATGACTTGAATCGTACTCTCTCTTGTTGATACGTGATTCTCCGTTACACAATATGCAACCGGGCGTGAAAGAATTTCTTTGAAGAAAAATTTTACAAATACCCTTTTTTGCGTATTTTTTGTCTCCTACTATATTACATTAAATTTTTCCTCCTCTCGAGTCGCATAAGATTTTGCAACAAAGTTGACGAGATATTAACGGAAGAATATCGGTCGAACCGTGATTCTCCGTTATAAAATAGATAGGTCTCAAATTTGTCAAAAAAGCAGTTTTGTATTAAGTTGAATCTCTCTCTATAGGCCTTACATTATAGTGGTAAGTTCATGCGCTGATTTGTTCGGTCTGTCTTAGGGCCCTAGTATCTTGAAAATTTTTATGAAAAAATTTACTAAATTATAATATTCACCCTAAGCTTTCATTCTCATCGACAATTAATAAAGATGGAAAAAAATAAGTTGATATTGTGATTATCGAATTTTTTCTAGGGCTATTTAACGAGATAATTGATTTTGAATTTTTCCTCCTTATTTGGACGATTTCATTTATTGTTAGTACAAAAGAAAATAATGCAATACTTTTCTGTAATACATTATTTTATTACTATAAATTATTTACAGTTAATATAGTGATGAAATAAAAGAGACGATTTAAGTATCAAAATAAAAGCTTTATTTATTTTTTTTTTTTTATGGAAAATGCGATTTTCAACGCATTGATAAGGTCAAGGCTGATAAGATCAAGGCTCGTAAGGTCAGGCTCGTAATCTCTCTTTCTCTCTTTGTCTCTCTCTCTCTCTTTCTCTCTCTTTCTCTCTTTGTCTTTGTCTCTCTCTCTCTCTCTCTTTGTTTCTCTCTCTCTCCTCTCTCTCTTCAGCAGTATAGCATAGCGAGTAGTTGTAAGAGTCAGGTAGGTAGCAAGGCGTGAACACACCCGCTACCTGCCGTAATTACGGTAGGTCGGTATCATTAATTTGTTAAGGTAGCGTACTATCAAGACGATCCCTCGCCGGGCGATTTCCTCTTTTAGTATAAGTAGGCTAAGTCGGTTTATCGTCAAAAGGCGGTCACCTGCCGGGCGGCATGTTTATATGTCGGTTAGATTTGTTGTAAGCACGGTAAATCAGTTAATGTGTTCTTTTATTGTAGTAGGTGTAAAGAACACCGTTGTGTTCTGTAGAGTTAAGACGTGTTTGTAACACCGTTGTGTTCATTAGAGGTTAAGGGTTTGTAAAGCTGGTTATGATCATAATTATACGGTTTGTTCATTTATGGTATTTGAAGTGTGATTTTGATTTGAAGTGTTATGTTTGATTAATTTCATTTCTTTACTTTTCCTCTTTTCGATTACTATGAGCGAGTGCGCCTCACTTGCCCACCCCTTTAAAATTGATAACGAGCGGAGCTTTCGTTACATGTTCATATGTCCTGATAATATTGATTTGATAGTGTTTGCATTTGAAATAATAAAAATGTATTTTTTTATAGACAGTAAGACTTATTGTCAGTATATGGAAGACAATTTGTTTACAGAAAAAAATGTTATGTTTACAAATATTATAATAATATTTTGACATAGATCGCGATGCGATTACGATGACATGACGACAGTTATGATGATGATGATGACGATGATGATGACGACGATTCGATAATTCGCCTTCTTATTCGTTTTTTTTGCTGATGATTGCAAAAAAGATTCCTCCTCGTCTTCATTGTTTTCGTCTTGTTCTATGCTTCGTGGTGGACGTCTTTTTTTGGCGATTGTCGTTTCTTGAAGTATTCTACATTGAACTTGCGCTTTTTCACGTTGACGACGATGTTGTATCCATCATCGTTAGTCGTCATCTTTGTTGTTTTCGTTGCAGTTTCAATTGATTTTTGCGGTTTTTTCATCCACGTCTGAGAAATAATAATAATAATAATAATATTCAGTTTGTTCATTAATAAATTCGTTTAGTACTCACTTTCCGTTGATTCTGTTTAAGGTTCTGCTGACTAACGAACGTGGAATCTAGCACTTTAGTCATCATTTGTTTTTCAAGAGTCGTGTAAGTATTCCTGATCATGTACCACTTGTACGTGTTGCTACGATTATTTTGGCTCAACAATGCAAGCGGAAATACGCAAGTATCCGCTTTGAAGAATTTTGTTAGTACTTCTTTCTATTGTCTGATTGGCTCTGATATATGTACTGTACTTCTGATCAACTTACCTAAAAAGTTTAACAGTATACAAATAACCAATTTTATTTAGCAAAACTTAAATATAACGAAGTGGTTTTCCTTACCTATAAGTGTGGTGGGATTCAATATTTTCCTAACAAGAGTTGATACAGGAACGACCCCGCTAATGTACGCTTTGATCTCGCAACCTTGTTGTAATATTTTGGCATTTATAACTTTTTTTGAAAAAGCATGTTCGATAAACTTGAAACTATAATATGGAAAGCCATGTAAAAGTCGAGAAAAACCAATTAGCCTTGTTATCAAATAATGAATTTTCAAGTCCAAATTGTTGCTCATAGGCGTATGTAAATTTGATTCTTCTTCTGGGTAGTATTGTGACATTTCAGCAATGGCTTCTCTCAAGAACGGCCATCTGTAATATTCCAATTTCAATCCGATGACGGGTTGCCGTAAACGTTGTCGCTCTTTTAACGTAGGTATTTTATTATTCTGCCAATTTCTAAATATGTATGCACCTTCTCGAACATTTTTTCCTCGCCAACCTTCTCGTGGATTTTCCAATAGCCAAGTTAACCGTGCAGTAGGAACATTCTTCCAGTCACCCATAAAAAAAAAACGTAAACGCTGTTCACAGTCATAGCATTCTTCTATTAAAGATCTTGTGACTGAATTACCAGCTGTAGTTTTAACCATTATGAAGATTTTCTCAAGGAAATCAAAGTCCTTTTTCGTTCGCTGAAGCATGTAACGAGTCCAGTTGCTGGCTAAATATGCACCGTGGTCTAAAAACTTTTTTGTACCGCAAGTCAAAAAGGAACTTTGTTCCAAAGAATTTTGTGCGTCAACGAGACACGTGGATCCGATGAAAGTTTTAACTTGTTCGATCCTTAACGAAGCTGACGATGTCAGGACCTCTATACCACACTTATAATCTGAAATTAATCCTTCTGCATCCGACATAAGTCGTTTTACGGACTTGTTTTGTTGTTTCAGCACCATTGGAAGATAACTGCAATTCAATAGTTTTTGAATGACTTATTGATATACTAATTTATTTATTTATTTTGCCGTACCTATAGCCTCCAGCAACCACGTAGCCTGTTACGCTACCCCATCTTTTCGGGCGACGACAAATATAAGCGTGTATCTCAGGCAAGTACGCTTGAACGTAGGTCACGTTTTCCCACAATGGCTCCGAAGATTTGCTGTTAAGGTATAACATAGAAAGTATATGAAATATTATAATTCTGTGGTTTAAGAGTAACAAATGACGTGTAATAGTTATAAATATATTATATTATCTTCTGTACCTGTTAGTTGTCGCATAACCGTACCCATGTAAGAAAAATTTGTTGTAATGATTAACGTTTATAAAGATTGATTTATGCAAATTCGAATGATTCACAACAATAGCAACATCGTCTTCTGGTTCTAGAGTGTTTGCCTCATGTACTTGAACGAGATCTGCACTTTTCGACGTCAGGTCTACTTTCACGTTTTCTGTCATGAAACGAATGAAATTTGGCATACTCCCTATATCTGATAACTTTATGCCATGATCGTACCTCATAACATAATTGCCGCTGATACCAAATTTCTTTTCCATTTTTTTTCCATTTTTTGGGTCACGCAACAGCGTACTTATACCATTACAAAAGTGCTGCTAATCTTCCGGATATATAGTTGGAGTTTTACATTGTCGTACAGAATAAAATTCTTTAAATTGCCATAATGTAATGTTCGACATTTAGCAGGCAAGTAATGGCACGCTTTCCTAACAATTGCGTTCATAAAATATTGGTAAATTGGACGAACCATTTTATCATCTTTATCATCTTCATCGTCATCCTCATCCTCATCGTTATTCTTCTCCTCTTCCACTTCCTTGTCTCTCTCCTCGCTATCATCCACCTTCTCCTCCTCCTCCTCCTCCTCCTCCTCCTCATCATCATCATCATCATCATCATCATCATCATCATCATCATCATCATCATCATCATCATCATCATCATCATCACTAGTATAACCTTCACCATTAGCGTCTTTTTTTTAGTTATTAGAAACCCGTGGAGATGTTTGTCCAGTATTAAGAGAAAATGATATCGTAATATTAAACAGGCTGAGATCGTGACCGATAACTACAATAGAATTCAGATCTGCAGTACACCGTCTTATGCGTGTATTGTTAATGATTTTTTTCAATTCGGAAAATTGCAAATTTTCCAAATCTGTGGGACAGGCATTGGTTTCCTGTCGGAAAAAAAAGTGGTGAATAAATTCTAATGCGGAGAGTTTATTGAATCGTTGACGTAAGACAATGCTTAAATTACTTTTTTTATTTTCAAGGAAATTTCAAAGTTTGTACATAATCCAGAAAGTTTTGAGCATGAGATAAGCTATAATTCAAAAGATTGGACAAGTCGTGAGAGTTCATTTTTTGGATACTTCTACCGGCGCGTTTGCGGCAAGACGTATAAGATTTGTTCGGCAATTTGAAATCTTCCGAGAGAAATATTTGCCTTTCGTTAAAACGTAGGAAAGATTTTCGAATAAGCTCATGAATCTCTGCGATTGTAAATTTACTACGTACCTAGAAAACATTTAGATACTCAAGTAGATTCAGCTTGTTTAACTCTCTTCGTACATTTGTGAGGGATGAGGATGTGCGAATAAAAAATGTGATTGATCCATTTTACAAGAAGGATAAATTATTAACTACTCAACGTCATCTCACACAATAGAATGAATATTAATAGATGTTACAACTCACTATTGCTTTGAAGCTGTTATTTCCAGGCTGGTCTTGCTTCTCGTCAAGACTGTTGTGGTAGCTATCGTTGTCATTGAGTTGCTGTACCATCTTGTTATCATTGTTGCCGCTGTACTCATGTTTATTTGGTTTACGGCTGTCATCATAATTATCTACATATTCATCTAGCTCATTCACGTTTGGGTGATGAATAGATTGTCCCATTGAATCATCTCTATCCACAGCTACTGAAGAAGAGTGATTTCTCTGCAAAGAGAACACAAAATGTTGATACTCAGAATATGTAAAATCTCAATTACAATAAAAAAAATATATTTACATTCTTGGTTGGGACATGTTCAATTTGCATCATGCTGTATTGATGAATATTGTAGGCTGACGACGATGAGATCGGCAGTAGTCGTTGCGTAGTTAGAGATTTCATCTCCAGCCGATCGTGCGGATGATAGTTTACAGGAGGAGTGCTCGTAAGCGCTTTACCAATGTCAGCTTCGTAGGAAACCATTTCCATATTCCCACCTCCCTGTTGAATAGACGGAACAGACGACGGAAGTGCACTACTTCGTTTTTGTTGTTGTCGAGGTTGCTGAAGAGGAATGATTGGACGACAATGTTGGTTGTTGGCATGGGGATTCTGAAATTACAATGTAGATGAAAAAAAATATAAATATATACCATGCAAATGTTGCGAAGAAAACTAGAGAAAGTTCAATTACCATAAGGCGTGGACGTTTTGGCTCTCGTTGCGCTACGTAATCGTCATCATCGTCGTCTGTGGTGTCGATTAAGTATGTGTCAGCCAACGCCAACGGTAATATCGACTGATGAGGTCGATTACCACCGTGAGAGAAGGATGTTGAGGGCATTGATGGTTGTTTCTGAAAAACAAAATAAGATCAAACCAGTGTCAATAAGTGTCGCACTCAACATGTGCATTGTCAATTATGATTTTAATAATTACCTGACTCGAATGTTGTTCAGTCTGGTGTAGTGTAAAGTCCTCGAGCAATGTTTGGATGTTGGTGCTAAGACGAGGCCAAATGTTTTGTAAAGTTTGAAGATCTTGATTCATATCCTTCAATATCAAGTTACGATGGTGTTGTCTCCTTCTGTCCACCATAGCAAGTGAGATGTAGTCGTACTGCTGGTAGGAACTGTACTGTGCCGATCCTGAATCCTGTCGTCTTTATATACCTAAGCCACCGACTATAAAAGATATAGTCGGCGACCATAAAGGATATAGTCGGTGGCTTAGGTATATAAAGACGGCAGGATTAAGGATCGGCACAGTACAGTTTCTACCAGCAGTACGACTACATCTCACTTGCTATAGCGGACAGAAGAAGACAACACCATCGTAACTTGATATTGAAGGATGTGAATCAAGATCTTCAAACTTTACAAAACATTTGGCCTCGCCTTAGCACCAGCATATTCGAGTCAGGTAGTTATTAAAATCACAATTGACGATGCACATGTTGAGTGCGACACTTATTGACACGGGTTTGATATGTTGTTTTTCAGAAACCACCATCAATGCCATCAAGCTTCAGTGATAAAACCAGTATGCGTTCCAGGAGTCTGCATGATGTGATGATGTCGTTGAGTGAGTAAATATATATATTAAATATGTACATGTTGAAACAAACGTTTGCATTTCGAATTATTTTTTTTTTATGGTACAGAAGCGATGTCTTCACATATAATCAAGACAAAGCGGGTACAGTGAAAGATACGTCCAGCCCCTGAAGCGCTCGTGAGAGCGTGCTTGGAAAAAAAAAGAAAAAAAACGGCAGGAGCAAAATCGATACAACCAGAACCATTAGATTCATCTGTAACAAGTACATTATTAAAAGGATCGGGATCAGCCGTACTACTGCTAACACAACAATCGAAGTACAAAAGATAAGTGTTTAGCGAATGACAAAACTTGCGTAATAGTGTATATCGTATATATAATTATGTATCTTTTTTTGTAATCATCATGTAATCGTAATCATCGTGTATTTGAAGGAAAATTTAATAAATTAATTTTTTAATTAAATTTTTGGTTTTTTTGGTGAGAATTCCTTGTTAAAAATTGGTAGAAATAAATTTGGGTTATTGGGTTATGGGGGGACTTTACGAACGTATGCTTAAGTACACTGTCCGAATAAAGTAGAAGGGTAGGTCGATCGCTCGGCGCAGTTTGGTCCAAATCGCGGCCCGCGTCTCGCCGCGTATTTCGCTCAAAGATTTTGCTTCTAAGAAGCCAGGGCGGGGAGTCTCATAGGTAAAAGCAATTGTTTAGGTTATTGGGTTATGGGGTACTTTACGAACGTATGCTTAAGTACACTGTCCGAATAAAGTAGAAGGGTAGGCCGATCGCTCGGCGCAGTTTGGTCCAAATCGCGGACCGCGTCTCGCCGCGTATTTCGTTCAAAGATTTTTGCTTGTAAGAAGCCAGGGCGGGGAGTCTCATAGGTAGAAGCAATTGTTTAGGTTAATGAGATATGTGTTCATTGGGTGAATTGGGTGATGTGTTATCTCGATGACGCACACGACTGCACGTCAAGTTCGGCATACAGATCAAATAACCACTAACTATATACACATTACATGGATGAGAGGAACGTATGCGTAAGTACACTGAACTAATTGAGGAGAAGGGCAGGCCGAACGCTAGGCGTAGTTTGGTCCAAGTTATAGCTCAAAATTAATAAAATAAATTAACAAATTAATAATCAATTAATAAATTAATAAAATAAGCTAATAGTTTAATAAAGTATTATTGTCATGTATTAGTAGTCCTCGCCTTGGTCGTTAATCATCTTGAGCTTCTTTTGAAAAAGCTCGCCATGATCGGCGCAGTCAGCGAACTTTTCACCGTCTTTGCAGTAGAGGTGAATATGGCACATCTCGTGCAAGATGGTGCCAGTCACTTGCTGCAAAGAAGCACACTTCTTCACGTTCACTGTGACTTGTCGGTCCGTAAAATCAGTTATCCCAAAATTTTGTTTGCCCGCATATCCACGATAGATCCGCCACTCTTTCATTTCAACGTCATCGTTGAAATAACGGTGACGGAAATAGTCGTAGTATGCGCGCAAATCAATATCGTCTAAACTGATTTCACCAGACAGTCTATAAAGAAAAAACATAAATTTATCAATAATTTGCCAATCATCTTTTATACACATAAAAATTAACTACTTACCTCTCGATGGGCTGAGGCTTCACATTCAGATCCCGTGAAGAAAGCCGTGAACTGCGACGAAGACGATTCCCCTCACCAGAAGCTAAAGATGATGACACCATGATCTAGAATATATCAAATATATATTATAAAGTTATAAAATTATTATAATATATATAGTTATAAAAATTATTATAATATATATAGCTATAAAAATTATTATAATAATTAACTACACTTCAAGCATAAGTTAAAGGAACAAAGAAAATTTCTAATTTTTTTAGCAATTTTCAACAGGCTGTATTTCAGTGATAAGTTGTACAGGAAATGAAAAAATATAGCTTTTGAAGCTTGAAGACTCTAGATTTCGAAGTTTTTGGTTACAAATTTTTTGGAGAACCTGTAGCCATGCAATTGTTGGATAAAGCACCAAAAAAAAAATGTTCCAAAATTTTTATCTTATTATTTTACTCTATGGCCTGCAACGATTGCCGAAAATCGTTTGGACTCGCGTGAGCTACTAAGCGTGGCTGAGCGTAACAGCCGCGATCAGTTTGAGTTAGAGAGAGAGAGAGAGGGCGCGTTAGGGGCAATGACCGGGAGGGGAGAGTTAGCTAGCCAGTAT